GCTTGCAAACTTGAAAAGTCATGAAATAATAGTATTGTGTTATTATATCACATCAACTACTGCAAAAGCTCTCTAAACTTAACTTTCAGACTCAGATTTACACTTGCTAGTAGAAATTTGTTCATACAACAAAAGTGAAGCTTATGCTGTACTTTTCTTCCATTTCTGTGTTTTCATAGAGAAAACCTAATGTATATTTCTACTGCCTATTGTGTAGACCGGATGCATATTGGCTGCCAGATGTTGCCCAGAAATGTCAGCTGCTGCTTGAGGCAGGGAGGGAATGCAATTAGAGATGCCCTGGTTACAGCTTGACACTTATGGTGGCAATATTTACATTTTTAATTGGGCAAGTAACACAAAAACCACATAATTTGGATTCTTCCTGAAAACTGGACCAGTACACTACACTAACATCTTCTTTTATCTGGGAAATGCAAACATCAATGTGTGGGCAGAAGCCCAAATGGATTGACCGCTTTTTGTAAAACATCTGAAACTAGTTCCTGAAACATATTCTACATCCAGTAGCTGTAAGGAGACCTGCTTTTTTAAGGCAGTAAGGAATGCTGATGCTTTAAAGCAGTTAATTGCTTTTATACTGAAACATTAATACATATAAATATGTAAAATACATAAAATAAAGGACCTGAATACCACTTTCACTACTTATGTGATTAGTTCCCCTTTACTCCATTTCTATCTATCATTTTCTACTAGCATATCAAATGCCTTTTCAAATAAACTATCAAATCAACTTACAAATTATAAATTAAGAACTTTGGACACAATCATTAAGCAAAATGTGCCAAGTACATTTAGTTGTAGAACTACTCTGTATGCAATAGCTTAGTGCAGTCATGAGAAGCAAAAAACATCAAAAAACCCACACCAAGTTCAAATTAAACGTCTGTTCCTAGTGCTACACAACCAGATCTACCCAACACCAGATTCATTCTGGATACACAGTATTTACTTATATCTAGGACGACCTTCTCTTTTACAAATTACAAATCCAGGTGTGGTCTGTGTTTGTTCATCCAGCATAGAGCTCTTTGAACTTCCTTACCTCCATTCTGTATTTACATTGCATTACAGTCCAGCTTAAATAGGTTGCAAGTGAACAAGTTATGTATATTAGCTGCCCCATGCTGGCTACCTCTGCACATGCTCTGTTAGTGTAGTACAATTTAAAGCACCTTACTGAAAGCTGTCTGTAATACTGTATCCACATACTAGCACAGTTTACTTACTGTTAACAGCAATTTTGTTCTACCTGGCCATTTAGGACATGGATTAAAATACATTAACAGAAGCTGCAGGAATAATTTGGGATAAGGGAATTTAGCTGGATTTTGGCCAAGAGGTTGAATTTATAAATCTTTGCTCTTGTGAAAAATACCATGGGCCCAATGTAATTCTGACTCTTCATTCTCTCTTGAAAAGAGGTTTTCCAGAAAAATGCTGTGTTTTTACTGTCCCAGAGGGATGAACACTGCATTTGGAATGACAGACATGATCTGTATTTTCTCTTTACAAAAAAGTGAACGTAAGTTATTTTTTTCTGAGCATCAGTGGGCTGATCTTAGTTTCAGGTTTATCTTGTATTTGGATAAATATGAAACATATCCTCAGAATGTGGACAGTAGTACCCTGTCTCCTGTTAACCATTTACCAGTCAACTCTGGAAGGTAGGAGTCTTGTGTAATATTTACAGAAGGTATCCCTGGCTAAAAACTGGCAATGCTATTGGTACCTCATCTCTGATAAGACCTTGCTACCTTCGGAGACTGCCCTCACCATTTTACCCAGAACATAATGCTGTTTCAAAGAGTATCAAAAATGAAAACAGTAGGGTCATCAAGAATCCCAGAGCCAGGATATCATAGTTATTTATCTCAATTGTGAGACATTGTAAAAAGGGATAAAACAATATAGGAAATTTTATATCTGACTGAAAAGAAAATACAGTCTCTTTTCCTGAAGTGACCTATATTTTCAATTAACTTACCTAGAGCTTCTATGCATATGATCACATGTGCTGGATGTGATCCATGGACTGCGACAACACAGTCCTCCTATCCAGACCCCAGATACACTGAAAAGCAGGGAGAAGGGTCAGAAAAAGATTCATGCTCTTCCACTCGATTAGCATTCACTCATAGAGCTCTGTTTTCCATACCTTCACTAATTCAATCATCTGTTCCTTGGTGTGGACTCCTCTCTTTGTTTACTGACAGATATACAGAGCACCAAATCTGTCAGAACTTCCATGGAAGATGGTGTGGCATAGCTGAAGAATGTGAGTGTGAATTCATTGGGGAATATCTGCAAAATGTTACCACCTTTTTCTAGACTCAGAAACATGTACCTACTCAGACCTTTCTCAGATACATGATCTTGACATTGTGCCTGAAGTTATCTCAACATGTATTAATTCATTTCAGATCCACTTTCTCATTTCGTGCTGTTAAGTGAACACTTCACTCCCTGCACTCACCACTTCCTGAGTATTCTGCTGTGCTACACTTGTCAGAGAGCCACTGCAATGAATTTTCCTCTCTCTGCAGTGTTACTGAGGAATACAGTTTTGAAACTTCAGTGTGAACAGCTCTGTAAGTTTTCCCCTCTGCCACTGATTTCACATAAAAAAGACAGGACTAACACAATCAAATGTCAATATATGAACAGGCAGTAGCCAAAGAAGAATGAACCAACGATCGCACAAAATTCATATAAGGTAAAAAGTTTCTTTCAGTCCAGTGGTTACAGCCTTTTGCCTCTATAAAAGTTCTGTGACCAAAGCCACAGACAAGTCTTTTGTTTTATCCAGGAGCAAATTTTCCCAGTGGAAACAATATATTATATATGGACAACCAGAAAACAGACCTGCTGTTAAAATCTTCTAGAATTGAAACTCAGAATGATGTGTAGTCTCACCAAGAGGAGAAGCAAAAATAATGAGAAATAATCTAGGCATTAACTGATCACACTGCTTAGTTTAAACCTAAGCATTATGCAGCACAGTTGTTATTCTGTGGGGAGGGACAGGGAGCGTACCAAGAATGTACCTATTTCCTTTGGGACTGTAATTAAATTTGGAAACTAATGTGATCATAAAATATACATGCTAGAGTTTAATTTTAAGTCAGAGTCATATGTTAAAAAAGATTGCTACCCTAGATTTTAAAAACATTAGCCTGAGTCATGTAACGCGACCTCATTTTGATCATTCTGAGTTTAGAAAATGTACAATTACTAATGCTGGCAAGAAGTCACACCAAGGCAAAATGAGATTAATAAGAAATAAAACTGCATGTCAGCAGCGCAATAGAAATGGAAATGAATAATCAAATAAGCAGAACATTCATGCAGCCTAGGCAGCAAAGTCCAAATAAATGGGTTTGAAAGCCATGAGAAAACTCTACAGTAAGCACTTAAATCATTGATTTAAAAAAGTTTTCTGAGTAGAACTTTGCAAGAAGTTTCATAACATTTAAAATATAAAGTGTTTTCATAGCTTTCACTGCTGACCTTAGCACAGTAATAAATCTGCAAAAATCATGAAGGAGGAAAAGACTGGTGCCAAACCGTTGGGCAAATGTATCAATAGGGATGACTCATTCTGTGTTCATTTTCTACACTGCCCAAACTTCAGAGACTTCTTCAGCATCTCTCATGGTGGAAGCAGGGAAGAATTCTAGGATATGAAACTGAACAGCTGCAGCAACACTCTTGTGTTCTTGGATGTTGGGTTACAATTCCTACAGACAGTGGTATGTTTACAGGAAATGTAATAAATGACTGATGGCTGCCACTGAAAACACCTGTCAACTACTGCAGCACTAAAGATGCTGACTTCCAGGTTATTTGAAGGAATAGTTTATGACAACTGGTTGATGTAACCAGTGATATGTTCTTACGTACTTATATCCACCAGTACCTGTGTTTATTCAAAAACATTTTAAAAAATGAAAGATTTTCATTATTCTGGAGAGAAACAGCTTCCATCATTTTCTCCCTAGTGTTCTCTAAAGAAGCGTGTCTTTCAGGTACACAGGCAGAATATCTATGCATATACCGGGAATTCAGTGAAAGGGAGAAAATGTACAAACACCCACATAATTGATCAAAGCCTGTAACCTGAAAATTCGTCTATCATTTCCATCAGTGGCAGTATGACAATGCATATTAGCATGAGTGTGAGTTGATCAAGCACAAGTAAAGGTAAATATTCAGCAATATCTATTTGGCATGGAAGTGAGACTTAAGCCTTGTCTAAACACACTTACAGAAGTTTAAGAAAGAGCATAGTCTCGGCAAAAGAGGGATGGTCTCTTTAAGCCTTGATACTGCTACCTATCACATCAATACATTTTTAAACACTTTAAATTCATTTTTACACTCTTGTCCAGAAACAATTTACTGTTTTAGGACATTGTGTTGGAAATATCATTGGTAGAAACAACTCATATATACTGTCCAATTATTTCAATGTTCAGGATTAAGAGAGAAGGAGAGATTTTATGCTGTTTTCAAACTACCAAAATTCTGCTCAGGTCCCTACGCTTAAGCTGACAGGAAAAGGAAGGCAGGGGTCTAGTTAAGTCTCTGGAAAGAGTATCGAGAGCCTCAGCAGAGAGTGAAGCAGGCAGCTAAAAGGAAACGTAGGTGCAGAAATGTGGATTGCACTCATTAGAATTTAAGCCATCCAAACCCTATTGCACAGCACAGTGGGTGAAATTCTGTGGCCTACTTGTACATAAGGTTGAAAAAGGTGACTGTAATGGCCTGTTTTGGACTTCAGTCCATGTGCTGATTTTCCTTTAGGCTATGCTTTCCCACTGCTCTGTCAATGAATAGCCCATATTTAAGCATGCTTGAAAGCATTTTTCTGCTGCTACAACAGCGTAAAGGGGTTTCAGAGTAAATAAACCTCATACCCTCAGATTCTACACATCTTTAAATGTTGGAAGCTTTTTTCTAGAAAGCTCTCTTACCTCTTTTTCCATTTGAAGACCTTCTGCTCTGATATTTCTCTCAAATATTTCCCTCTTTTCTGCCTGTGGGTTAGATTTTCTATATACCAGGATGTAGTCAATCCGACATTTTCCATCTCTAAAATATAGTCCATTAGTTTTGTTTTTATCAGGTACTTCCTGTAAAGAGAAAGTCAAACATTTCAGTGATGTTAATTTGCCTTAGTAATTGCTGCATTGCTGTTTGCATCAGCAGTTTTCAGTAATACTCAACAGGAAAGATAAGGAACCAGAATAAGCTGTTCAAGTTTTTAGGTGCTTCCTATACAGTGCCTCTGAGGTCAACGGAAAGTAGTACAGACTTCCCCATTTCAAAACCTGGAGGTCTTCTTCAGCGGGTGTTTTTTCACGGGATAGGAGAGAACAGAGAAGGCAAGACAACATTCCTCCCCCACCACCCTCCAGAAAATTAGGAATAACTTCTTACATGTAAAATAAATCAGAAAATAGTGTTACCAACGCGTAAATTTTAAATCAAGAACTTAGTATGGCAGAATGTCTTTGTACATGTGAGAAGAATAAAGAGTGGCATGAACATCTACTGTGGTGAGAAACACTAAGATCTGGCACAGAGATTGTCACTGCTTTGCGATGACTATAGTACCTTTGCCTCACAGGACACAGAAAGGACATGAAGGTCCTGTACCTACCTCATGACACCTCATCAGATTAACTACAGAGTATTCTTGGCTTAAGGAACAGCTGAGGAAGCCCACTGGATTTATTTGTTTTTTTTTGATCTAGCAGTACATAAATGCAATAAATACTGTTTTCTTGGCTCTTTCCTGCAAAGAACATAGATGTTTGAATGTTTGCTCTGACTGAAGGAAACAACTTGATTTCACTGTCAGTAAGAGGTCAAGCAGGTCTTGCTCCTGAGATCTAAAAGACCAAAATGCTGGTCTTTTTTTCAGAAATTCATGAAATGAAACTTTCTACAGATTTTCCTCACAATTTAACACCACTTCCACATAATACAAGTCCTGCATGGGGGTTAAGCTTTTGCTTTCAGACTAGTTGAAATTGTGTGGCAGTTCATGTGCTGGAGAGTTTCATGCAAGAAATGTACACTGTGAATGATATATGGGAACAAACAGCACTCCCTCAGGGCAGTTTAATGGGCAGGGGCCTTCAGGGACCTCAAGATCAGTCCAGCTCCAAGCTGAAGGGAGGGTTAGGCTAATTCCTCTGCTTTTCCAGAATTTCCTGCCAGAAATAACCATGCCCTATAATATATGGTCAAATCTCTGAAAAAAAATAATATTTTGCTTTTCACATCTGGGAAAAGTAGGGAATCTTCAAAATACTTTCTCCATTGGAGGACTGCTTTTTAATTTAAATCACAAAAAGTGAACATAGTAATAGGACATATTATTCTTTCAGAAAAAAAAAAATGAAAAGAGAATACTCCCATTCAGAGAGTTTAGTGTAAGCTATCTTCCTGATTCTCAGCAGGCATTTTGATTAAATGGAAAAACCAATGAAAGTGTCCCAAATGTCCCATCCCCTTGATACATCCAGTTTACTGAAGGCAGAAAGGGGAATTTTTCTAAGATTCTTTTGTTACAGTGACTGACTCCTAACACAGCTTAGTGCGGACTTGATATAGTGGAACAGTTCTTTGAGCTGAAAAAGAAGGCAAGAAAAAACATTCAAGCCCCAAGGAAATAAGAGTAACAGACCATTTATATCTATACTGCATATCGTGCTGACAAATTATATTATCAGGATATCAGAAGTATTTTTCACAGAGCATTAAATATGAAAAAAGCTGAAGAAGTACAGTTTATTTTTTTCCATAAAATATCTATGTTGAGAACACATTAAAAAAATCCCAAAAGGGTATTTAATGTTATTTAAATAAAGGAAGGGTGCAGCAGGAGATTTAGAGGCAGTGGGTCAGCCTGGTGGTCCTGCTCTGATTTCTAAGCCTCCTGCTTAACGATTCTTCCTGTTCTGTAGGTCCCAGAGTGTAGGTCACTATGTGAACTTTAGCAAGTAAAGCTGTGTAATAGGAAAGGATCTGTAAAGCAAAACAATCTGTGCTGAGGACCTGCTGTCCACACTATATAGGCTTGCAGGCTTACTTTGGGCCCACTCTAGTCTGGGTCCAGGAGACTCACTGGAGTATATCTCACAATTTATTTGCATCTGGTAGGAATCCAGGTTTGAAATCCAACACTGCTCTGGAATGCAAACAAAGCATGGGTAGGGGTAATCGAGAGATTAACTTTAAATTTACAGTCCTGATCTGAACTAAAATGTTAGCAAAGACACATCCAGAGTGTACCAGAAGGAATGTGTATTTCTCTGCATGCAGTAGAGACTCCACTGGTAAAATAGATTTGCTCTTTATGTTTCCTATATTTCGTCTTTCTCTGAAGAAAATTGGTTTGCCCTAAGCTGACTCGTCGGTGCATGTAGAACCTTACATTAAAGCACCTACGAAATTTTCCTGAGTTATTTGACTTGTAAGACTTCTTCCCCTATAAATATGACTTCCTGAGACAAGTACTTTCTCTTGGATTTGTGAAATACTCCCAACTACAGCATTCTCTTTTTTTTTTTTTTTTTTTTTTTTTTTTCATTTTTTTTGAAAAACCCCCCACCAAACCCTTTTTTTTTTTTTTTTTTTTTTTTTTTTTTTTTTTCTCCTCAGAAAGGCAGCTTGGACTCTTACATGTACTTGGAAATCCTTTTCATTTTAGGAACACAGTGCGTCAAATCTAGACTGATAAGCCAAATCTAGACTGATAAGCCCTACCCAGCTGGTATGGTCTCTGAGAAGGAATCCGTTCCGTTACTCTCTGTTATAGCCTGTAAGGCAGCTTTATAGACTGAGTCTGGACTTATGAGAACTCTAAGGGTCTGACATGATATGGAGAGAGTCAGGTTGGCCCAGCAGTGTCAGGAAATAGCAGCTGCAGAGCTTTTGTGTTGTCCACAGTATTCCAAGCTTATACTGTTTTAGACAGAGACTTTTCTCCTACCTTGAGCTTCACTGACCTTGTCCAGACATTGCATCTCCTTTCCCTGTGTTATGACTTCAAAATTCAGTTTTCCTAAGCTGATTAAAAAAAATTATCTAGAACCAGGTCTGACTGGAGTTTTTGGTGGGAAAGTGCTCTAGTCATGTATGTTAAACCTCCATCCTTCATCTGAAAAAGGATGCCAGAAGAAAGTAGAAGAACAGGAAAGACTTCACTCTAGCAAACAGCATTTCTGGCTATCTTTGCAGCTTTATTTGCAATACACATATCTGAAGTTGCATAACCAGAAATTCTTTTCCAAGGAATACACTAGTTTCACATTCTCAGACCCACAGCTTGGAGCCATCAAATCAAGGAAATTTGAAACTTTATCTGCAGATCTTAAAAAAAATATCAGAAGGGACTCAAATTATCACTAATTTGATGACAGATTAAATTCTTTCTTGATTCCTAGTTATTTTGGTACCTCACAATTATCAGTATGGATGCCCAATGAAGATGGGATCTTTGAATTCTAAAGAGATTATCTTTTCCTGTTGTTTGTGGCTTCTTGAAATTAGAGTCCCCTGCATGTGATTTCACAGCTGGTGGGTTAATATCTGCACTACTAATAGTGATAACTTATGAAGAAAAAGAGGAACCCAGAACCACCCAGTTTTTAAGGCACAGTTCTAATCAAAGTATGAGTATATTTTATCTCTGTGTTTTTTTTTTCTTAATATCCTTTGGCCGTTTAGATTATAATTTTGTGGAAGCTGCAACTTATTTTTTTAATGTATATTCATTGTTTTGCATATTCTTCTTGACATCATAACATATTTAATTACACGGAGCTTTTCTAACAATGGAATTATCTAGGCTGCAAAATTAAGTGCTCAGAAGTTAGGAGGTAACAGATTTGTAGTTGTCCCTGAAAGCCTAGATAATCTTTTTCTATATCCATCCTGATCACTGAAGAAGACCAGGAAAAAAATTATGTAGTTAGCTTGTATTCTGGTAAATACACACAAGAAAACTGAGCTGAAATTGCACAAGCTATCATAACTGCCATAAAGAACATTAGAATTCTTATTTTACAACGTGAATACCTTTCTTCTGCCACAATCTTCAATGCAAGTTCTAGTTTATAAGAGATTGTTAAAACAAACTCTATTCCAGGCAATGTTAGTAACACTGCCTCCAAATTATCAACAGAGTTTTATGCTTAAAGTGAAGGCTGTAAGAGTGACTCTTACAATTTTAATTTCAAAACTACCTACATTATCTGGAATGTCAAGAATAAGCCATATAATCTCATTTAAGTAGAAGTTAATTTTTTTTCCAGCTCCATCATTCTGCCTTGTTTGGATGAAGATGACTGATTTCTTACTCCATAGAAAAAAAGGCAGAATGGATGCATACCTAGAGTACAGCTCCGAACTATTTTTCCTTGAATTTTTACTTTATTTCTGCTGCTTCTCCAGTTCTCAGAAAACGAAACTTCAGTGAAGGTATTTTAGTGATAATATGTCCCTGGATTTAATTTGTAAGGTGTATACCTAATTATTATATTAGCATATATAAAAAGTATTTTGATCAAATACACACAAGGGGAAATGTGATTTTTAATTTGCTCAGACTGTAACTGTGTTAGAATGAAACATAAAACAAAGAAAAAAAATGCCATCTCTAGCCAAACGACAAGCTGAATCCCAGTCTGGCTCTGCATCTGTTAAGGAACTGTTGATAAAGCTCCATCCGTAAAGTCTTAATTGGATCTTCTGGTCGAGCATGAACAACTAACAGCTGGAGCAAACAATATTTCAATTTATCAGCTACGCAAAAGTGATAAGAAACCTTTGCTATGTCCTAGTAAATTTTTTAAATTATAAATTCATTTCAGTGAATTCAGACAGGAACCATATTAAATTATATGGCTGCAATGTTAACTTTAAAATTGAACCAAACAAACATCAATATATTCAGAGAGACTTTCACTGAGGCCATATCCCTTATCCAGATGTCATTTGATGGGATCAACAGGCTCTCTTATCTACTAAACTAAACTGAGAGACTGAAAGGAAACTTGAAGCTTCAGCGTTCACCCCACCACTGTATTGTAGAGCTCCTGTATTTATCCATACAAACTAT